TTAAGGAGGTCCTTTCGCCTCCAATGTAAAATAAAAAATATTAGATTATGAGTAAATTCAATTTTTTTCTAATAGTTAAGGTCTTTATTTATCTAATAGTGAGGTTTAAAAATTTGTCCGGTAAAGTATAATTTAAACCTCACTATTAGATAAATAAGGACCTTAACTATTAGAAAAAAATTGAATTTACTCATAATCTAATATTTTTTATTTTACATTGGCGGCGAAAGGACCTCCTTAATCATAATTTTTTTTTCTTTTTTAATCAATTACACAATTTATTTTTTCTTAAAAAATGAATGAGTGTTATGAGGCGTGCACTTTTGGATTTTCCAAACTTTTTCATTTTACTATGGTACACTTCAATTTCTACCATTTGTTATGTCTGATTTCATTTGTTTCGAAAATTACTATGGGCCATTGTAGAATTTTATTCTGAGTCAATGAAGTTCACTAGTAATAATGCACTATTGTAAAATCTAAAATCCATGCAAAATAAAAAATAATGGAAATTTCTCACCGTGCAGTTTTTCAATTTTGATTTTGTAATATCTCGAACGCTATTATAGATACAGGAATGGCCTTTCGTTTGTTTGAAAGGGGACACTTGGGGCTGTTAAAAAAATATTTGGGAAAATATTTTGAATAATTCTAAATTTTGAATTTTTGGAAATCGTCAAAAATGACGATTGACATTAAAATTTTGGCTCAATTTTTTTGTATAATTCCTTGTATTGATCTCAAAAGATCCTGAAATTTTTAGAACTGTATTTTTTGTTCTTTTTTTTCTAAAATATGAATTTTTGATTTAAAAAAAAGATTTTTTTTTTTTTGTAATTTCTAAATAAGGTGAAGTTAAGCAGATGCATAGTATTGTAATTTTGAGCATTAAAAAGTTAAATCCACGACATGGAAATAATATTAAATAATAAATTAATTTCAACTTTTTTTTTTATTTTTTGAACGTAATCTTAAAGTCAGGCTTAACGCATGATATAATTTCTTATTTTTTTAACGCATGATATATTTCGTCCGTTTTTTCACTTCAATTACAGTTTTCAACGCCAATTAACTCAAACAGATGTTAATTTCTAATAAAAATCAGAAATAATGTGATGAGAAGATCAATTTTTTTTTTGTTCTTTCGAATACTTGTTCACTTACAAATTTCTGCACCATGGGGTCCACACACTGTGTGTGTGTGTGTGTGTGTGTGTGTGTGTGTGTGTGTGTGTGTGTGTGTGTGTGTGTGTGTGTGTGTGTATAACCTTCTTATGACTTTTGAACGGCTTGACCGATACACAGTGTGTGTGTGTGTGTGTGTGTGTGTGTGTGTGTGTGTGTGTGTGTGTGTGTGTGTGTGTGTGTGTGTGTGTAAACCTCTTATAACTTTTGAACGGCTCGGCCGATCGGATCGAAATAGGTGGCGTTTCGAAGAGTATCATTGCCATTAAATTTCGTGAAAATTTGAATCGATTCGGTTCGCTAGATTTTGAGAAATCTCAAAAATAAAATTTTCAAAAAATCGTTTTTTTGGAATAACTTTTAAACGGCTTGACCGATCAATTCCAAAAACTAATCAGTTCTTAAGCTTAAAAAACCACGTCGATTGCCACCAGTTCCATCAGAATCGGTTAATTTGTTCGAGAGTTATCGAAAACGAAAATTTTCGAAAAAAGTGTTTTTTTCTCATAACTTCGACATTTCTTTTCGGATCGTTTTTGACGAAATAAAATCATTATTAGAGCCCAAAAAATCACGTCAATCGCCACCAAGAACGTGAAAATTGGTTGTTTGGTTCGTGAGTTATCGTTGTCGAAAAAATTCGGAAAAAGTGAGTTTTTCAAATTTCTCTAAGATTTTCGGTTCGATTAGTTTGTGTTCAAAAGTTCATCATAGATTCTGAAAAAGTGCGTGGAATACTGCCAACCGCGTGAAAATCGATTTATTCATTTAGAAATTATTGCAGTTTGAAAATTCAAAAAATACTGTTTTATTAAACTTCTATCAGCCTTTTGAGCTCCAAGAGCTCAAAAGCATGCAAAAGATGTTTCTTTGAGCTCGGAAAGCTCAAAATAACACAAAAATTGTTTTTTTGAGCTCGAAGAGTTCAGAAACGTCGTAAGTGCAATTTCAAGCGTTTAGGTATGTAATTGGTGGCAAGTTGCAGGGATGGCCTTTAGGGTCAACCGTTTCCCTAATTTTTTTCAATAGCCCCAAGTGTCCCCTTTCAAAAAAACGAAAGGCCATTTCTGTATCTATAATAGCGTTCGAAATATTACAAAATCAAAATTGAAAAACTGGAAAAATCGCGAAATTTTAAATTTGCATATCTTTTGAAAAAATTTTTTTTATTTTTCTTCCTCGGGCAGAACTCCGTAATATGATATAAGAAAACTTCTGACCAAAATTTATCCAAATCGAAAGAGGTCGATTCCAACCATTGGTCGATTTGACATGGAATGATCCATAATATCATGTTAAAAAACAAAAAAAATTATCATTCAGTTATATATAAATATCCATAATAAATAATTATCATAAATTAAAACATAAAATAAATAAATATTAGTGTAAATATGTTAAAAATATTAGATTTAATAATAATTTATTATTTATATAATGGTGTGGCGGTCATGTGACCGCTGACTTAAAAATTATTTAAAAATTAGGTAAAAATTTAGTAAAAATTAAAATTATTTTGTTAGACATTTAGGCTACAGTTAAGATTTTGAGATTGTAAAATGTAGTAGATTCAATAGAATAATTTAGTTTTAAATTTTCAGTTGTAATAGGATTAAGTAGTAAATATTTGTACATTTTAAGATCCGGAGCCTTTTCTCTCTGGCTTATGGGTTTTTCCCATGAGTTTTTTCCCAACAACTTTCCTAAAACCTTTCCTGTTTATTACTCTTTTTTCTATGTGAAATAAACCCAAGCGATAGAGGACCCGAGGTCAGATGGCCAGCTGTACTCTCGGGCCCGCTGACGTCACGAAGGCTTATTGCCCCTTTGCACTTTGCTCACACTTTTCTATTTCCCGAAGATTTCCTTCGTGTCCCTTCGCAAATCTTCGGGGCCTTCTACCCCACTACTACCCTTTGAACTTCAACTCTGATACCCAAAGTGCAGTAGTGGACACCATTATTCCGACCTAACTCCCCGTCCTGAGTGCACGCGGCTCCGGGTGATATATTTCTGTTGTGAATCGTATAATATACATAGTAACTTAACTTCACGTTTCTTATTTAACAGAACCTATCACCGTACCCATTAAAAATCCTAAAATGGAAAATGTAAGTTTACTATTTAACCGATTAACCGTTTAACTGGTTAATCCGTTAACCGTTCAACTAATTTAACCGGTTAACTAGTTAATCGGTTAAATCGGTTAATTTGGATTAACTAGCTGGCCGATGAACTAATTAACCTGGTTAAACTTTCTGGCCGGTTTAGTCGGCCAAATTGTACAGCACTACTAATTATTTAAACAATCGAAATATAAAAAAATCGTTTTTAAACAATTAAAAATTAAAATTAAGAAAAATAATTTTTTTTTTCAATCATAATATTTTGTGGACAACGAAATAGCAAAAAAAAAATTTTTCAAAAATATTGAATTTCTTTATTTGTTTAAAAGAATTTTATAAACAAATTACGTAAAAAAAATCTATGTTAATTACTACCATTGTTTAATGTGAAAACAGGTATAGCTAAACATTAATTGAAAAAAAATTTTCATCAACATTTTTTAGACTTTTAATTTTTCAATAGTTATAACAAATCATAATTAACAAATTAATAAACTTTTATGAAAAT